TATTTCTCTGCACCTAACGAACCCAACAGATAAATGTCATTTGTTGATGTAAACACAGCTGAGTGCAGTTTCAAGATATCTCCTCCTGGCACATGCCGTGCAGCAGCATTCACAAAGATTCCCAGAGCAGTGCAGATTCTGAGTAGTGACTCAAACATGCAGTGTATAAATGTTAAAACTGCATTTGTATCTCCTGGGCTAGCTGATGTTACGGTGTATGACACTGTGTTTAATATCAGATTAAGCATTAAAAATCATTGTGTCTCTCAGGCTCTGTCCTGTTTTAATACTTTATGAATGTATTCATTTAAGCAATTTGTGTTTTATACATGTCCTCTAAGGAGTTCTCTTCAGATTCTCAATGTGAAGTAGTCTGAAAATGTTTAGTCTTGCTTAACCTGCGGTCTTGGGGGCAGATCTCCTAAGGTTTGGTGTTGTCATGAACAGTAGCAGTGTCAGGACTGCTGATCTGGATGTGTTGGCCTAATCTCACCCCTGCAGATTGAGTATATACACTGATCAGGTGTAACATTATGACCACCTCCTTGTTTCTAAACTCATTGTCCATTTTATCAGCTCCACTTATTATATAGGTGCACTTTATAGTTCTACAGTTACAGACTGTAGTCCATCTGTTTCTCTGCATACTTTGTTAGCCCCCTTTTACCCTGTTCTTCAGTGGTCAGGACCCCCATGGACCCTCACAGAGCAGGTACTATTTGGGTGGTGAATCATTCTCAGCACTGCAGTAACACTGACGTGGTGGTGGTGTGTTAGTGTGTGTTGTGCTGGTCTGAGTGGATCAGACACAGCAGTGCTGCTGGAGTTTTTAAACACCTCAGTGTCACTGCTGGACTGAGAATAGTCCAACAACTAAAAATAAGCAGCCACCAGCGTCCTGTGGGCAGCGTTCTGTGACCACTGATGAAGGACTAGAGGATAACCGACTCAAACTGTGCAGCAGTGGATGAGCTATCGTCTCTGACTTTACATCTACAAGGTGGACTGACAAGGTAGGAGTATCTGATAGAGTGGACAGTGAGTGGACACAGTGTTTAAAAACTCCAGCAGCACTGCTGTGTCTGATCCACTCAGACCAGCACAACACACACTAACACACCACCACCACGTCAGTGTTACTGCAGTGCTGAGAATGATTCACCACCCAAATAGTACCTGCTCTGTGAGGGTCCATGGGGGTCCTGACCACTGAAGAACAGGGTAAAAGGGGGCTAACAAAGTATGCAGAGAAACAGATGGACTACAGTCTGTAACTGTAAAGCTACAAAGTGCACCTATATAGTAAGTGGAGCTGATAAAATTAGAGTTCAGCTACACCCAGTGCTAACACGTATAAAATCAAGCACATAGCTATGCAATCTCTATAGACAAATAGTGGCAGTAGAATGGATTATACTGAGGAGCTCAGAAACTTTAAACATGGCACTGTCACAGGATGCAACTTTTGTCAGTTCATGAAACTCCTGCCCTGCTAGATCTGCCCTGGTCAACTGTAAGTGCTATTGTGAAATAGAATGGTTATGAATCATGGTTCACTATCTGGCAGTCTGATGAGCGAATCTGGGTTTGGCAGATGCCAGGAGAAGGAGATGGTGCATGGTGCCAAGTGTAAGATTTGGTGGAGGAGGGATAATGGTCTGGCCCCTTAGTTCCAGTGAAGGGTAATGTTAATTTTACACCATACAAAGACATTTTAGACAGTTCTATGCTGATCAACTTTGTGGCAAATGTTTGAGAAGGCGTTTCCTGTGACTCAGTGCACAAGGCCAGGTCCATAAAGATATAGGTTGACGAGTTTGTCATGGAGGAACTCCAGTGGCCTACAAAGAACCCTGATTTCAACCCCATTAAACACCTTTGGGAAGAATTAGAACGTCATTTGCAAGCGAGGCCTTCTTGTTCAACATCAGAGCCTGACCCCACAAATGCTCTTTTTATTGAATGGGCACAAATTCCCAAATACACCCTCCAGATTCTTGTGGAAAGCCTTTTTTTCATTATTTACTCATAAGATTTTAGTATTGAAAGTAAATCTGAGCAGTCATTTTAGCTGGATCAGAAATAAAAGTGGGTTGGCTTAGGCCATATGATGGTAAATATTGATAGTAAATACTGACTGCACACTTTTTCATGCTGTGAAAAGCTCGTCTTATTTGTGTTAACATGGCTGCCATTGCTGTTTCTCAGAGATGCCCGTACAACAAAATACACCTTTACCGCCAGATAAAAATTATTACCTGAAGGTTTTTCTCCTGTTTCTTGCAGCAGTATGTCAGATTTTTGCTTATATCTTTATTATTGTTTTTTTCTATAATAAAATAAGGCCATTTTCTTAATGTTTTGACTTAGTATGTTAGAATTATTTTCTGAAAACTGTGAACTTTTCTCTCAAAATAACTATAGTTTCTTAAAAAATAATAACTCGACTTACAAATTCAAAACATCAAAACAGAAGTCATTATTTTGAGATGAAAAGTCAAACTTTTGACATGATAAGTCAAAATATAGATACAAATATAGAGGAAAAAATAATGAATAGATAACATTTTTTTGGTCTACCTGACACAATCAGGCTTTCATACATAAAGAATGTGCTGAGGCTTTATAACCAGCCAACATCTATGTGGACCAAGCAAAAACAACCAGCAACACTGAAGGCTGAGTATGAACAGAAGAAAGCAGTGACATGTTTGACTTAAGGAATTCATTTATATTTTTCTTTTGTAGCAAAAAAGATCTTTTGAACACAGAAATGTTTCACATAAGACTTTTCTTTTTCTTCCTTTTTACAACTCAAGGGTAAAATGTGTCTATGTAACTTCACATACACGCTTATGTCGTGACAACACATTGAAGCACCTTCTTACTGTTTCTGACCAAGAAAATAAAAATATCACTGTACAGTCTGCTTTCATACATTCTCACATAGCTATACTGTACAAAAAATCCAATAGAAAGAATCATACACCAAGAGCAGTAACAAACCAAAACAATGAAACAATGAAATCAGTTCCCAATTTTTTTTATAGAAATTCAAATGTTAAAAGAAAGTTATGTACGAGGACCCAATCCGAAATTCATATTGTGAATAACTTTGTCATTGAGATGATGGGTTGTTTGTTAGTTGGTTATGTTTCCCTTCATTCTTTCCTTTCAGAATGTCCTAACCTGACACATGTGTATGTAACAAAGGCAATAAAACTCTTGTCTATGTGCAAAATAGAAAAATAAACATTTTCCAAATAACAAAAATAGACACTGTTCAGATGTTTTGAAATGGTGACCTGACATAACAGAATTTTAAATTTGATCAGGGACAGATTTTTTTATTAATATTTATTTATTCTTTGTCATTTCTTGCTTGGCACTGTTATGACTTCTACAGCAACTGTATTAAACTTGTATCAGAACTAGAAGGTTGATGGGCAGAGGCATGTAAGTCTCTAATAAACTCTTTGTTTTACCTTAACTGATCCAACAGAGGATTTAAATCAAAAGTGGAAAGATTTTATATCAAAATTGGAATAACCCTGTACACTGTCAGCCTAAAGCTGAAAATTGATTTATTATCATTCCTTTTACTGCACTTAGTAATACTTTCCATTGGCTAATGTGGACCACTTTAACATTAACCGTCTAATACTCAATTTATTTTGAAATTACTAATAAATACTTAAATACATTAATTAACTAAATAAAGAGGCACAAAATGTCAAAAAGTCATGGGCTATTTTTATTTAAAATGAGATGGAACTCACTCTGTTTTCCCCAGATAGGCCCATCATTGGCTGCAGTACTGTGCAAAGTCAGAGACCACCCTTCATTGATTTAATTTCCACTCAAAATGTATATTAATTTATTCACTTTTTAGGAGATTAGATAAAAGATAATCTGCTTTCACAAGGAAGACATCAAAGGTAAATAAGTGAAAAATATAAGTTTCCAAAAACTGGAGTTTTATATCATTTTTTAAAATGAAACAGAGAAAATGGGATGTCTAACACCTGTGCAAGACCTGCTAGACCACCAAAACTGCTAGTGATAAACAGTATTTAAAGTTTTCATCTTTGAGAGAGAGGAGAAAATCAAGCTGCTTCAGATCTGAAAACATCCACAGGTGTTTCTGTCCATCCTTCCACTGTGAGAAGACGACTCAACACTATGGGTCTGAAAGGATGTGTAGCTGTCAAGAAGACATTACTGAGAAAAGGAGACAGATAAAAATAGAACAAAAAAAGATATTTTCATGTTATTCTCAGTACAATCAACTGGCCAACCCAGAGCCTAGCGCGGGGGTCAGCATCCCAAATGTTAAGAAGAGCCATTTTGTCCGTTCAGCAAAAATCAAACCACCTTAGGAGCCACAAGGAGCCATGTCCATTTTACCATAATGGCTGTAAATATGTCTCAGTATGTGCTAATGTGGTAATATAGGCTAACAAATTTAATATAAACGAAAGACTTTTTTGCTCTGCTTTAAGCTTTAGCTCAGCCGTAGCCGCTTCTCTCACATCTCTGGCAGAAAACTTCCAAAAAGTAAATTTGTAAAATGTCTTTCAACGTTTGATTTTTTACAGGCTGAAGTCAGCTTCTCATTCGCCAGCTTATCGATGTTCTTCTTAAATCTTTCTCTTTGCCATTTTGTTAGCTACTAGCTAGGCGAGACTGTTGTCTGCATTCCTATGTGAACAGCAGTCTGCATTAGCAGTTATACATTAACACCAGTGTTTAAAAACATTTATTGTTAAAACTGTATTAGAACAATCAGTAAAGCTTTATTTTACCGCAAAGGGCAGTAAAAGAACCACATCTTGCTGACCCCTGGTTTAGACCTTAAAGTTAGTGAATGTGTTTTGGATTACTTGAATCAAAAGACACAGACAATATAATCAAATTCTAAGACTGAACTTTGGAGGTGTGGAAATAAAAATGCCTCTGCAGATTTCTGTGAAAAACTGAAAGCAAGTCTACTGGAAAGAATAGAAGCTATAATAAAGGTCAATTGTGGAAACGCTAAATACTGAAAAATCTGATGTCATGTTTAGTTTTTGAAGCTTTTGTCTAATTTTACATTAAACCTATATTTTCAATTTTTTTTTTCTGATACTGAAAAATGAATATGCTGTTTTGACTGGAAATAATTTAAACGAAGGGTGGTCTCTGACTTTTGCACAGCACTGTATCTTATTTTAAAAGGACATCTCTATTCTAAAGATTTTTACTCTCCAATCCTACTAACGTAAATGAGCCCGTTTTACTGTTGGACTGGACAGGCTGTTATGGTGGGATGTTGTTTTGCACACCCATTTGCTTTCCTTCCATGAAAAAAGGGAAATGTTTGGTGGGTTGACACTGCAGATAATGAAAGATAGAAATGATACAAAAAGAAAATAAAAAATACTGTACTTTATTCATTTGCATTTTTTTTTATTCCTCCTCTTGGTAAAAATGTGTTCCCATCTGATGCGTGCATCCAGTCCTATTGTGATGCACATCCACTTAGCAGGGATAAATCCTCTTGGCAACGTGCAGTGCACAGCCTGAGAAAGCCTCTCTCTTTTATTTCCTCTCGCTTCTCTGAGATTCTCCCACATCATTCAAGATCGGGCATCCATCGACACCTGCCCTCGTATTGTTAAAGGCAGTCAGTGAGCAGTGTCCCATTCAGGCTTCAGTGATGAGGGCCAGCCCTTGCCTTGGCTGTTTGCCACACTCACGCACAGAATGTCAACCTGAAGTCTGTAGTGTGATCAAATGGACAGAAGGACAATATCATTAACATGGGGGATTCATGCAGTACACAGTCTTACACACCTTGATCCTTTCAGTTATCCTTTCAGGGTGGTCTTAAGGGTCCTTCTTGCTGTGGAAAGTCAATAGTCCATTTGCTCTTAACCAGATATGGCTGGTGTCCACTTTCTGGCCTTTTCTGATAGACAAGACAAGATGAGGCTTATGGTTTATCAGACTGTACTCTCCATGACCCACTCCGAGCTGCTGCTGAACGTTCCTTTATCCCCTTCCCCCTCACTCTCGTCACACTGCAGCAGCATGCCGTTCACGGAGAGGCTCCGTTTAGTCCAGATGTTGCTGATGCGTCGAGGGTAGCTAAGGCACTGTGAAGCACCAAAGTCACCCATGTCGAAGGAATGACTGCGCTTGGGCTTACTCTCCAATGGCAGCATGAGCAACCTTCCAAGCTTGGAGTCCCCACGGCCCAGCAGCGGCTCTTTGTCAGAAGGGGGTCCCATGGCTGCTGCCATGGCTCCTGAGCAGGAAGGACCACCTGGATCCCTGGCTGGAGCCTTCAAATCCAGAGACGCGAAGGCTCCCAGCAGGTGGTCCAGGTTGGGTCGCGTTTTGGCAGGAGCTTGCCTCCATCTGTTGGGCAGAGTGCTGGACTCACCACGCAGATCATAACGCTGCACCTTCTCACAACCAATGGAGTCTGCTGAGGAAGAGGAGGAGATGCTGCTTTGCAAGGAGCCGCATTTAAACTCCACCACCTCGTCCCGCATCACGACAACAGCTTTAGGGGCCGGGGGTGCTGCCTGCATTCCGCCATTGGTCTGCGAGTAAGTGTTGCTCACCGTCACCAATTTGGCTACCTGTGAACCACTGCTGACTTTGTAACGCACCATGAGGATGACGATGAAGACCAGAAGAGTGGCCACAATCACGCCGCCAATGACCAATATCATAGTGCCCCCAAGGAACTGACTGTGAAGCGACTGACAACGAGGATAATCATCGCGGGTAACGAACTGCACACAGCCCACTATGTTGGTGGCCGTCAGCGTGGTAGCCGTGTCGTCCCAGATGGCCAGCACGCACAGGTCATACTGCATCCCCGGCATCAAATTATTGACCACGAAGGCTTTACTGGTCACAGGGATCATCCTTTGAACAAGAAAGAAAAACAATACAGCTTTAATACAGGCTTTGCAGCAAAGAGAGTTCAACCAAAGTCTAAGCAGTCTTTCATATCGACAATAACCGTGACTCATTGAGCGAAAATAGAAGAGATCAAAGCCGCTGCCAAATGTGACACAGTAAGTAGTTATTAAAATGCACAGAGTCATTTGGAGTGATTACTTTATTTGAAGCTTTATGTTTGATTCAATATGCATGGTGTTCCGCTACGTGGTAGAAAACAATTAGTGATCTCTTTGCTGTGGTGGAATTTTAATTAGGATGAAATATCTGATTGGTATCACACTTGAATTTCAGTTTGATGAGGGCATTTAATGGACTTGCAATGGACACCAAAAATTAAAATAGATTCAAAGCATCTGTACTAAAAGAACATCATTAAAATACTACAGAAAAAAAACCTTGCCCCATGCTAACATAAAGAGAATGGCAAGTTTCAGATCTCCACATATATCAGTGAGCCATAACCAAATTTCTAGTTTATGTGTATTCTTTGATTAGCAGTACTCATAGGTAGCCAAGCGAAAGCACTGATGAGAACCAGGTTCAGTATAAATTCCACTACGAACTACAAATAAATCTTCCAAATCTGCTATAAAAGTAGACGGAATAAAAATGGAAATAAGTAGTGGTTCTGGTATGAATTTCTACAAGCTGAATTAAGTAAAGGCTTCATTTGCATTCAAGGGGAATTTCTCTGACCATATTTGAGAAAACAAATAAAACGTAAACACTTTGCAGAAAAGAAAATGGGGTTAATGTTTGCAAAATATCTCAGAAATCATAAACAGCTGTAAATGGGTGTTTTAGCTATTAGCATCCATTAACATTACCATTGAAAATGTCAATGCCATGCATTTTCAAAGGGGTCTGCCTGTGGCACACTGTGACTCGTTACTGGGCAGCACCATATCTGCCATGCCAACTGCTTCAGTCACTGCCTTTAGTTTGTATACATCTCATATCATGACTTGTGATGAAGAACTGGTGAGATGTGTAAGAGTTCTTTGTTATTTGTGATCATGGTATACTGTAAAAAATGGCTCATCAGATCAAGCTAAAAACATTACTTCAGGTAGTATGTAATGTAGGGGCTGAGGCAGGTTGTAAGCGTGATGTGACTTTATTTGGGGCATTCTGATACTCAATGTTGTAGCAGGCAGGGGTCAACATACAGGCAGGCAGGAACAGATGCAGATCCATAATCAGACAAAACAAAGAGAGTATCAGAAGTCAAAACCAGTGAAAACCAAACACAAGAAACAGGCTCGGAACTCAGCTATCAAACTCAGGTAACAACACAGAGCCTTCACAAAAACACAGTGGAAACAAAGGACTATATGTAGAAGTCTTAATGAGTCCGAAAGGAGCTGCAGGTGTGTGGGAGAGGAACAGAGTGGGCGGAGCCAGGAAGAGTTCAAGTCAGTCTCCCCAGAGGGGGGAGATATGACATACTAACAAGCAACTGAATTAGTTTTATTCAGACCAAAAAACACTGATTGAAAGAATCATTCATTCAAAGTATTTATTTAGGTTAAATAAAACTAGTTAGTTTACTTGCTACCACATGAAGTAATTTTTAGGTTGATCTGACAAGCCATTTTAGAGCGAAATGGTATTTTGACTGTAATTCTATTGAGAAAAATATATACAATGCTGTGCATTGTATATATTTATATATTGACATTATATACAACGTCAAAGATCAAGCTTCATTACATTAAAATCCACTCAAAGTGTTAATTAAGTAAAAAAAATGAGTACTAGTTATTCATTTTTCAGGAGATATTTGAGAAAGTCGTATTGGGAAAAGAAAAATTCATGAAAAAAGAAGATTTTGCAAATCTAGATTTTAAAAATTATTAAAGAATGTAAAGAAAAAATGACTCCTAACAGCCATGCAGGACCCGGAAGATCTGTCCATCCTTCTACTGTGAGAGGACAACTTGCTATGGGTTTGAAAGGATGTTTAGCTGTCAAGAAGAATAAAAAATAGTAAAAGAGAAATAGAAAAAAAGAAGAATGATTTGCACTAGAAGACTGAAACTGGACATCTGAGATGTGGAGAATAATTTTATGGACTGATGACCTTTCTTAAATCATAAGAACCAGAAATTAAAAGAAACTTCTAAGATTGATTTTTGGAGGTGTGAAAAAATATCTGAGGATTTCTCTGAAAAACTGAAAGCGAGTCTCTTGAAAAGAATAGAAACCATAATAAAGGTGAAGTGGACACTAAATACTGAAACATTTGATAATACATTTATTTGCTGAGACTTCTGTGTAATTTTCTGTTAAATGTATGTTTTCTGCTTTTCTTCCTAAAATGAATAACTAATACTGTATGGCCATTTTGCCTGGAGATTAAATAAATGAAGGGTGGTCTCTGACTTTTGCGCAGTAATGCATGCCAACATTTGACAGAACAAAACAAACAAATAAACAAAAGGACCAGCAGTAAGTGTAGTACATTGATTCTCTTCTGCAGGTTAATTAATGCCCAAAGGTAAGCCAAAGTTTGAGTGCGTTCAGCAGGGATGAAGTGCGCGTATCATGACCTCATCCTGTGCTTGGGGAACAAAATGAGCAAAGCGTTTTTTTTTAAGCTTCTGAAAAAGAAACAGAGTAATTATCACAGGCAATCATCAGGCTCAAATATCACCATCCAGTGCATTCTTTGAAGATTCCTGAGTGGTGAAATAGACAGAAAATTTTAATTAAGGTCTAATTGATTAGCCAACCATGCTGTTCTGAGAGCACTCCTCGTATATTTCCTGCATAGTTAGTGAGACAAAACAGCCATTAGGTAAGAAGAACCTGCACCTTATTTTCCAGGTGGATTTGATTTCTTGCTCATAAACTGTGGCCAGATTACCAGTGGGTGGAAACACCATCCGTACAGGTGAGTTGGACAGATAAGAGGCAGACTGAGCAGCAGAACCAAATGCATGTGAAGCGTACACTAATTTACATACAGTATTCTGATGTTTTTTTCATTATACTTGTGATGAGTGTGATAAACTAATGGATATCACATGTAGTGTTGACAGTATGTGAACACTGAATCCTTCTAAAAGGTAGTGTGTATACACTGAAAATTAATTAATTCATCTGGGTTTTCTATACATACATCACAATCCAATTTCAACTGCAATCTTACAGTGGCTGTGGTCACCAAGCAACAGACATGGTTTCTAACCGCATGGTGTACAGTACTGATATATTCTATAGGCTCATAAAGGATATGTGATACATCCTTCCTTCAGCAGCCCACTGCAGTCATATCAGCAGCGGCATGGTGGTGTGACGCATTGACTACACTAAGCCTCCATGTCGAGGAAGTCCATTACTCATTCATAATTGCATTCCAATCACAGGGGAAGATGCTACATTCCAGAGTAGCAGCTTTATAAGAGTCTTCAACCTTTTTCCTGCTCGAATATTACACATTTTTTCCCCTATTTTCTGCTCGGATCAGCTTTGCCTGTCAGTTGCTGCAGGAAGAGAATAGCCCTGGACTTAAAAAAGAATTGCACTGATTTTTCAAAACATTCTGTGTAATTTAAAAACATGCAGATGTAAATAAAGTCATTCAGAGTTGTTTTGTGTTTCTTAGTTTCATGTGTGATTGCAGAGAAACTAACTGACTCAGATTCCTTTACAGTGCTGGTGATAGGAAGTAGGTGGCACAATGTCTATGCAATATAACCATTTTATTTTCTATCCAGATCCACTAGTGAACCTACACATGGACTTTTATTCTTTATTCATATGTCATATTAATAATGGTAAAATAGTGGAAAGTATGAAAAAATAAGTTTTCTTTTGGCTCACACTTCCTGAATCTACATCTCTGCCATTGATGGATTTTAGGAAATAGAGCCCTGTTTCCAAAAGGTTGGGACATGTTCAAAGTGGGCATATATTTTTCAAATGAAACAATAAAATGTCTCAGTTTCAACATTTGATATGTTGTCTTTGTGCTATTTTCAATTAAATATAGGGTTTAAATTATTTGCAGCATCCCAACTTGGCCTGGGTTCGATTCCCGGCTGGGCGACCAGGGTCGTTTCTGTGTGGAGTTTGCCTGTTCTCCCCGTGTCTGCGCGGGTTTCCTCCGGGTACTCCGGTTTCCTCCCACAGTCCAAAGACATGCAGTCAGGCCAACTGGACATGCTAAATTGCCCCTGGGTGTGAGTGTGTGTGTGAATGTGTATGTCTGTCTGTCTGTCTGCCCTGCGATGGACTGGCAACCTGTCCAGGGTGTATCCTGCCTTCCGCCCAATGACAGCTGGGATAGGCTCCAGCACCCCACCGTGACCCAGAAGGATAAGCGGTTTAGATGATGGATGGATGTTTGTTTTTTTTACTATGGAAGTCCAGAGAGGGCATGAGATAGTTATAATTTTCTGAACTGTTAATTGTCCTGTGACCTCAAGATAACAAAAGTTGTTGTCTCAAGATAACTTGATAATCTATAGTTGTGATCTCGAGAAAACAACTTTTGTTTTTTTTAAGATCACAAGACACATAAGTAGTGATATCAAGAAAACAACTTTTGTTATCTTGAGATCACAAGACAAATTAGTCATGATCTCACCATAACAGTCAAAATTATAACTACCTCATAGTCTCTCTGGAATTCTATAATTTACTGACCAATCTTGTCATGATGCAGACAGTGGTCTAATGAATTTGAAATCAGTGGGCCTGAATTAAAGCTCTATTACATAAACAACTGTCCAGCTGTGTCAGATAAAATGTAGAACAAAAGTACTATGCCCAGAAAATGATCACTTCTAAAACATTTAAGTCTTTAAGTTTTTTTTCTTGTCACTTTTTAATGGTAGCCATACTGTGACTGGCCTAAATTACTTTTACTAACCATATTGTTATGGCAGTTATTTAAAAGCTTTATAGTATTTGCATTTGACCTGCACTTGCCTGTATAAAAGCCACTTCTTAATCTAGTATATTCTTTACAGATGTACAGCCTCAAGAATGCCCATCATCTAGAGTAGATATTGAACTTTGGAGGTGGTTTATCTGAACATGATTCTGAAGGAAAACTGAACAGGGCTTTCATCATACAACTAAAAAAAAAACAGCAGGCTACAATCCTAGAATCCTTGAATCCTGAATTTCTGAGGATGACTCATTGGCAACAGATCTATTTGTTTGTTCATAGTCATTTTTCACCACTATGAACATTCTGTTAATATAGCCTGCAGGAACATTTTGTTTAAGTAAATCATCCCTGTATAAAATGAACACTAAATAATAATTAATCATAGGCAGAAATAAAAAAAGCATATGCTATTAGCTCAACTAAACCGGTTAACCTTCTTCTGACAAATACTTTTGTTTCCCCCTTCTGCTATATGTCTGATAGTCTAATAGACTCAACTCCTAATGAAAGTTCCATGATATATTCATCGGCTGTCCCTAGGATATGATCAGGCTGTCAAAAACTTGTGAATATTGCAAACACAAGCTGACAAATTGAAGTATGCAAATAAGAAAGCTTGTCAGAAAGAAAGAGGTTTGGATGGAGCAAATGAACTACAGCTGGCAAAAATAGCTCTTCTACGATTCACGGGCACCACTCCAGTTGTTAGCAATATATCGCACATTGCTTTGACACAGGAACGGTTCTAGCATAAAGAATGGCTAAAAGTGTTCATTGGTGTGTTTCCTACAGTTTATGGCTGACACATAACTCACTGTATCTGCACTTCACAGTGGCGTTATCTCTGTCTTACCGATTCCCACACAATTTCCATGCAGTAGACACTGTGATTTACATAACCTTGACTGTAAATCCCCATAACAGTCCTCCACCACCCGCTACCACTCCACAGGGGAAGTATAGATTAGACTAGAGTGCGCTGTTGATAGGTTACGGTTTGCCGGTGGAGGTGACTAATTTAGTAAAGGATGAGTCAATGAAAAGGCACGTAATTAGATGATCCATGCGACGACAATAATAGAATATCACGAAGTGCAGCTCGACGCTCTCTGTGCAAGCCTTTGGCAAAAAAGGAAACACTCTGCAAAGCCAGACCAGGAACAAAACGCATGACAGCCAAAATGACTGCTTGAGATAAAGTTCTTTCCTGTTAAAAAAGAATCAAGAAGAAGGTGGACCATCATAATCATGGGCTAAAACTGTAGCACTGGAGCTTGAGGAAGTGTCACTGACCACAAGTGAATATATTGTACCATTAAACCCTAAAGGTCATGAATAGAAAACCATTATGGAGTGAATTTAATGAAGAAAATGTTCAGCTGTTGCACGTTACATAAAAAAAAAAACACAATTATGTTGATTTGTACCTGCCTGATTGAAGAAAATAGCTACAAGTTATGGCAGGTGAGCATTACCCTTAATGAAAACATAATTAGAATCTTTTTCTAACTGTGTTCAAATTATTATTAGATCTTCACATATTTATTTCTCACTAACAGGCATCCTTTTAACCAACATAAAGCATAAGAGAATTCAAAAATGTATTGCTTAGGCTGACTAATGCAAGTGAGAAAGAGATAGAGAGAGACAGAAAGAGAGAGAAAGAAGAGGCAAGCTTATTTGTACGGTAATTAGTATTCACAAGTGGTTAGAGGGTCAAGACTCTTTGAATGTTTACCTGTAAATCAAGACCTCATCATCGGAGCAGTTGTACTGGAGCTGGTACATTTTCACCTTGGGGGTTGCTTTGCTCACTGTCCACTTGACCAGGGCAGAGACTGAAGTGACCTCTGACACACTCACCACCTGTTCCGGCTGGGCTTTGGTCTCCCCTTTGCTGGTCTTGGTGGAGCTGGTGATGTCGGACAGCCTGGATTTGGGCTGCGAGGTACGGTTTGTCCCGTTGCTCAGATGAGGCAGCTGTATGATGGAAAGCTCAATGGAGGCTGTGGATTCTCCTGCAGCATTGGCAGCAATGCAAGTGAAAGTGCCGTAATCCTTGGCTGTGGTGACCATGATGTCAAGGGTGCCATTCTCATAGACGGTGGCTCTTGATGAGTTACTGATGAGACGGTCATCAGGGGCCACCCAGTGTATGTAGGGCATGGGGTCACCCACTGCCTTGCAACGTAGGCTAGCTGTCTGGCCCTCAAGCACAAGAAGCTTGTGGGTGTGCTGAGTAATCAAAGGCGGCTCACAGACAAACTCCTCCTCACGTACATACCAGAAGTACCGTCCTTTCAGACTGGGAGGTGAAGCGCAAGTCTCCATGTCATCCTCACGCTCAAGCCGCCGCAGCCACAGCACCTCGCAGTTGCAGTGAAGGGGGTTTCCACCGAAGCTGAGAGAAAGCACAGGAGCAAATGGCGTACTTAGAACTGCATTGGTCTGAGAACGAGCAAATATGGGATCTGGTGGAAGCTTCTGGAGCCGGTTCGAGGTGAGATCAAGCCTAGCCAACTTGTCAAGGTCCGTGAAAGTACCCTCAGCAATGTAACTGATGAGGTTGTGGTCGAGGCTGAGCTGGTGCAAGCTGAGCATCTTGCGGATGGCCTCCCAGGGCACGGTCCGCAGGTTGTTGTAGGAAAGGTCCAGGTCCTCCAGCGTTAGCAGAAGGTCATCGAAGCCTTCTTCAGAGATGCGGTTCAATTGGTTGTTGTTCAGGATGAGATGCTGTAGGTTGACCAAGCCCCGCAGGGCATCTGGGCCGAGCTCGGTCAAGCGGTTGCTGTCCAGATGGAGCGAACGGAGAGTCTCTAGATCCACAAAAGAGAATGGCTGGATGGAGCTGATGGTGTTCCTTGACAGTGTCAGGTCCACCAGGCTTGTCATGTTGACAAAATCCTGTTGTGTGATCCTGATGATATAGTTTCCCCCTAGCCGCAGCTCCACAGTCCGTCGGTCAATGTCCACGGGAACGAAGAGGAGGCCTTTAGAAGGGCACAATGTGCCTAGAGACTCGGACAGGTTCTGACAGACGCAGTATTTAGGGCAGGCGATGGCCGTCATCACTGCACTTCCCAGAAGCAGGAGGCTGCAGAGCACTTTGGCCATGGTAGATCATGTAAACGGGCCTGGAAAAGCAAGAGGGGAAACAGAGGTCAGCGTGTCCTTTTCACACAAACACACAGCAATTACATTTGTGTCAGTACCTTTGCGGAGCCTGTCTGTAGCATGTACAGTCCTCATTATGAGCTAATCCCATCTCTGCACCCTTCAGGGTACAACTAACTCAAACAGACAAGCATATATGTAGCACTGGGCATGTGCATACGCCTCCTGACTTCTTCTTCTGTCACAGTGGGAAGCTTAGGGTACCACACATTTCCCTTTCCAACGCATCCAATTTTTCATCCTTTCTCACTATTTTAATGATCCGTTTGAGATCTACAGCACCCATTATTTTGCAAGGAAAACATCTACAAATGGGGTGGCTCACCAGTTTTGTTGGGAAGATGATGAATCACTGACATTGTTTTCTCAACTATCTATTTCTCATGCATCATTACACCTTCAGCAAATCAATCAAACAAAAGTAAGCGTATATTATGATTGGAGATGGAGTATAAAAGAAAAGGACATCCACCTATCTTGGCAAGTACATTATATTTCTCACTATGAGATTGAAGAATATTACTGGTATTTTTTTGTTTGTTACTTTTTTTTCAGTAATTTCATCCATGAAATATTCTTCAGAAATGCCGCTCAAGATGAGGTGTTGCAGGTTGACCAAGCCCTGCAGGGCATCTGGACTTAGCTCGGTCAAGTGTCCAGATGGAGCAAATGGAGAATCTCTAGATGTTCAGCCCCGTCTGAGTTCTATTAGTTTTACCAGAGGACTGGCAACACGATTTGTAGGTTATTGGACTGTCTGATTCATACGGGATAAAGTTTCTGTGTAATTTTCCCAAATTACCCCAGATATTCCAGATCAAAACATCACCCTCTGGACATTCATGTTGCTCTAAACAAACAACAAAAACTGTCAGTTAATAACAGATAGAATAGCATTAAGTGAGCTAAGTAGGCTCACTGAAATTCAATCATTCAGCTCACATCATGAAAAAACTAAATTTCAGCTTTGAATACTTCTTGAGTGAGTGACAATACAGGGCAGCCAATCAAATCAAAACAGAGGTCAGCTATCTTATATCAGTCTTAAAGGCACAGTACAGCCAGTTTAATTCTAGGGGATAAAGAGATGTTGGAAAAATGGTCAGGTAAGAATGGATTATGCTCTAATTTTGGTACATAAAAGAACAGAAATGTTGTAAGTGGACCTCAAGAGAAAAAATACAAAAAGAATATGTGCTTTTTAACAAATGCTGCTCAGCAACACAGAAATCACACTCCCCTGTGAGAGGTGCATTCAAGATATTTTGTTTCCCTTCTCATTTTAATTAGGCCATCATCGAAAATGTTGTAGATTATAGTAGTCATGTTTTGAATTTGAGAATGAAGGAGCTGTGCCAAGTCAAACTCCATTATAGCTTTTAGCCTTGGCTCTCAGTTGCGAAAAAAAGAAGTGCCATTGTCTGTTACAGGGTTTTGTTATTACATTACTGTAAGGTTCATTCAAGCAGGACTACTATTAACAAAGGAGCTTTGAGTCTGAAAAATTGCAGAGGGTAATCCACATGGGAATTATTTAGCAGACCTGTAAAAGCTACATTGCAGATTTGTACTGGATTCAAATTCTGGATCTTGTTAGTAGTCACTCAAATTACAGCACTTCTCTAAGGTAAAACTAACCCAGCTGGAATAAGGCTTTATTCTATTGGCAGAAAATGTTGCTTGTTTCCAGAAATAAAGAATAAAACAATTTCAGTAGAGAAAATAACCTAAAACAAGTAAAGAAGTTTAATAATAAACAAAATAGTTATAATATTCTTACAACAATCTCAAAATGAAAATATTGCAGTGTAATTTGAAATTCAGTGGGTAGGAAATGCGATGGACTGGCGACCCGTCCAGGGTGTATCCTGCCTTCTGCCCAGTGGCCGCTGGGATAGGCTTCAGCAATCCCCCATGACCCAGAAGGATAAGCAGTTTAGAAACTGTGTGTGTGTGTGTGTGTGTGTGGGGGGGGGCACATTTGCAATGGGCCCACCAATCATTATAACAAAATAATTTGGCAGTCTGTTGGCAGCACATTTTTTGGGACTTTTGTACAAACTTGACAAGTTGGAGCAGAAAAAGTTGCTTTAGAAAAAACATGACTTGCTGTGACAAATGTCAGCCAATGACTCGTCACGATTCTGGGTGACTTGTTATGACCACCACTTAAAGCTAATTTGGACATAAAAAATCTTACTCCCTGCCCCTTTAAGGCATGGTAGTCCATTGTCTCCCTCAGTGTCCCCCTCCCTCCTTTCTCAATCTCTCTCTCTCTCTCTCTCTCTTTGTCTCTTTCTCTCTCTCTCTCTCTCAGCCATCCTGTTCTCCCTTTTCCATTGTCTGAGTATTGAGAAACTGCTAAAGGATGAAAAATGTCTGGGCGCTGGACAAGTCAGACGTTTTTCGAGGCTGTTAGTCTCTGTGCGCGTCCATGAATAGCCGAGCAGCTTTAACACCCACCCAGCCACCCATCACCCCGTACACTAAGGAAATGGATGGGCAGACTCACCCTCAGACAACGGCCTATAATTCCCCTGGACATTTATATCATTAATTCTAAATACACTCAAAACCTAAATCAATTTTAATCAGCTTTCCACTGGAGCGGTACTTTAATGGCAAGTCAGGCTTAGAGGAGCAGAGGAACTGCCTTGATGGCTGTGACATCCCAGGCGAGAAGGAGACGGAGTGACTTTAATTTCCAAGAATTAAAGTCAAGGTTAATAGTGCTCACATCCTACAACACACCTCCCATAAAACACGTCTTTATCAATGCATTTAATCTGGATCCCGTGCCCATCTCCTCTCACCTCCTGTACACACACAGTGGGTCTCCAATAACTCATAATTATGAGTGACATTACGCACGACAGGCTCGTTCCGTCCTGAAACAAGTTTGCAATTACATAGTGCGGAGCTGCTGCATTTTGACTGCATGTCACAGAGAGATAATTGGATTGAAACAGCATGCAGAAATGAGCATTTGTACAAGGAAAAATGAGAATGAAGGGAGGAATGTAGAGGAAAAACTGAAAATCACTTGGATAGCACTGAAAAGAGGGATGTGCCAAGTTAAAGTTTAATTCCATTGCTATAGGATTATATTCATGTGTGCCCAGACAATAACTGGCCTTAAAACTAAAGGAAGTCAGCAATGCTGGAAAGTTATTATGAGACCGAGCATGATGATTACCTAGACCATATAATCAAAACCAACAGAGTCAAAACAAGTAAACTGAAAGACACAATAGATGAAAGGTTTTCACTGAGCCTTTGTGTGAGTTTTACACAATCAGCCTCCACAACCAGATATGAATGCCAAGATTTCATTTTGTTGCGAAGAAAATCACATAGTGGTTCTGTGACATGTCAAAAAAAATGCTTGCAGAAAGCAGGAATACCTAGCATTGCCTGACAAAATGATATGTCTGTCCAAGAGCCACAATACTGGGCAAAAGTCAGAGACCTCATTTAATTTCTTTACTTTCTAGTGAAAACAGCCATTAAGTATTCATTTGTCATTTGTATTTATGTAAAAATACCAGATGTTTAAAATATCTCAAGTGACCAGTGTAGGGTTCTACTTTAGTAGCTGTAGCCAGTCAGCAGCTTGTTCATGTTGTCCACCCTCACACACACACACACACACACACACACACACACAAACACGTACACACAGAGACGACACATACGCACTAACAGCAGGCCATGTATGAGGAGAACAGAGTGAAGGGACACAGCACTTCCACACTTTTATTCCCCGTGGGTTCACCCCAACACCACGTGTAATATAAATGTGTAGGGGGTTTACAGTGAGAAGTCATTGAAAATGTGTTATTTTATATGTTCTTCACAGAAAATGAGCAAAGGTCAAGAAATCTGAAGTTGAAATAATAAATCACATCATTTTTTCTTTTGGTAAACAATGAAACTTTTCATCAGTACATGATTGTACATCTTACTAGACTTATTTCATTGCAAGGATTCACCAATAAGAAAGCTGTAGAAGATACAAGACAGAATGTAGGCTTTACTACAGGGGCATACATTGTGACCCTATCTGAACCCCCATTTGTATGCAGGGTAATGAGATCCTACACAGCAAACATTGGAAAATGGGTCCTGCAGACCCCACCACCACACAAGGGTTAAATTGTTTTCTATGTAGTTACTGAATAATGTCTTGGGATGCAATATACTGGAGATTTAAGGGGTTAATAAAGAGTCAATGCCACTATCTTTGAGACGAACAGCTGTAAGAGTGACCTATTTAATAAAGTCCATGCTAATTTCCTCAAGCATTACTTGGGTTGGCGTCTTCGGAGGCATTGACTTATTACTCCCCGACTATCAGTCACGTCACATTGAGCTATATTGACATTTATTCTACATGAATGTGGCACTCTATTAATTTTAAGTCGCAGTAGCTGAATGATTGCCCCCTGCTTTGGTTCAGGATGACCCACTCTGCACACCATAGCTCAAACGCCATTGTGCAGCTGGGGAAGATGTGTCAGTTACTGTGATGGACACATGATTTCAAATAAAGCCTGCCACAATTTATTCTCACACATCCGAGACGACGAAAAAAATGGGGAAAAACGTAGTCCACTCCTCTCTGATCTATTTTGACATGTTGCTAATGCTGTGCACACTTAGGGAGCTCTGGTAAAGAATGAGATGGAGAGAGATGCAATGAATGTTGCCGCTCTGACACAAACAGTGGAAGAGGAAACCACAGGGGCAAACATACTAACAAAGAAGAGAGAGAAAAATGAATGAAACTGCGGCGCAATATGCACTTCCGCCATTTTACGAACGGATTTGTCATTTCTAATGGTTTTATATCTGATGAACCAAAATGCATTAGCATGGATTTCCCTCAGAACTAAGACTTCATCCTGTTGAGCAAAATTATTAGGAGTGAGCTCGGGGCACCAGGATATAAGTCATTTTT